GCCCAGACCTGTGGTTAGCAGGGGTATGAGGCAGGGAAGGTCTTACCGTGAAGGCAAGGTCAGAGGGGAAGTGCTCGCAGATTGCCAGGTTGCGGGGAGCTCTGGGCCTGACAGAGTATCGGAGTTTGGTTTCTGCTGCTCTGATAAACACCAGGACCGAAAGCAGCTTTCGGGGAGGAGAGGAAAGGGTTTATTTGGCTCACACTTCCATGTCAGAGTTTGTCCATCCTTGAGGGAAGGCAGGGAACTACCTGCCACACAGACAGGTCCATGGGCCTGCCTGACGGAGGTAATTCTTCGTTTTTGGTGACCTCTTCCCAGGTTGGGTCAGATTGACAACCAAAATTAACTGTTATACAGGCAGCTTACTAAGAGTCAGTCCAGGTGTGGGGCATGCCTTTGATCACAGCACTCAGGAGGCAGGAGGAGGTAGGTCTCGAGGTCAGCCTGGTCTACAAGCTGGTTCCAGGACAGCCAGGGCTGTGGTACAGAGAAACCTTGTCTCAAAAAAAAAAAAAAAAAAAGAAAAGAAAAGAAGAAGAAAGAGTCAGTCCAGAAACCTCTCAGGGTCAGGGCCCACGGAAGAAGGGGTCCAGAATGTGAATGTTCCTAAGAAGAGGAGGCTGTTTCTGGAGTAGGTCTTCCCTGGGGATCACAAACCTTGAGAAATATTTGTGTCTTAGGCAGGAAGTCGTGAGGAGATCATTGTGTGTGATTCATCAGTTACCGAAAGGACCGACCGTGTGCCTTAGAAAGTGTTACTGCAGATGATAATGGCTGGTAAACGCTGCCACCCATACCATAATTAATGATACGCAGAGGTGTGAGGACACTGTGAGTACATGAGAGGTGAGGAGAGCAGGTCAGATGAACACCGTGCCAGTGTGGGCTTGGGCAGACTGCCAAAACTGGTTGAACTAATGGGTAGGGCAGTGTGTCCACCCAGGACTGGTACTGAGCCATGGGCGCCGATGTACCACAGGCTGCTGGTCAGAGTCTTTTCTGCCTATGGCTGCCCACTAAGTACAGCTCCAGAAAACAGTGCCCATTTCCCTTCAGAAAGCAACCTTCTGCACTTGGTCTGGTCTGAGGAAGCATACCCACTAAACGCTGCCTGCAGAAAGACTGAAGGTTCCTTGACCTTCCTGGGAGGGCCTTCTGTCCCTCATTCCTGAGCTGGAATGGCTGGACAGTGTGTTCACTGGACAGGTATTGTGAGAACGCACAGCTACTTCCCCTTCCACGCCTGCCTTGCTCTTTTTGCTGCCAACCAGCCTGGGGTCCTATTGTAGTTTTGTGGACTATTTTCCGTGGAAAAGATTTCTAGCTCTGGTTACCTCAGAAAGAGGCTTGAGGCCTAGTGGGTTTCTTTTCTTGGACAATCAAGGTGTCAGGACACAGAACGGGGAGGAGAAGGCCCTACACTGAGGACCTTGGGGTGTGTATCTTCACCATTTCAGAGCTCTTACCAGATCTCTCCCGACCTGCAGCCACAGTCCAGCTCCTTCCCACTGTGCAGACCATTCCTGTTCCCTGACATTTCCTGTATGCTTCTCTAGGCCTGCCCCCCCCACCTCCCCCTGCTGGCCCCACCACGCCTCCCAGCCTGATTTTTCCCCCTCAGGCTGTTGGGAGCATGCTTTGGCTGCCCAGGGAAGATGGTATCTGACCACATCAGGGAGGGCTGAGGGCATTGTCGGGTGAGCTGGGGCCTCCTTAAGTCCCCGTTGTCGCTCGAGTAGCTGAGTCACTCAGTAGCTGGCTGCAGAAGAGGGAGCTGGAGATCCCACTCCACCAGCCTGGAGTGGCAGGGCCAGTAGCCCCCCTTTCTCCCCCAGACACACCTTCACGTCTCTTCTTTCTGCAGATGGAACCCAGGTAAGCCTGGGTGTCTACTGCCCCAGTCTCCCTGGCACAGGTAAACATCAGGCCTGGGAGAGACTGGTTGGTGGGGCATGAGGGATAGAAACAACCTGGGAAAGGTGAGGCCTGAGGGTTTGAAGAAGTAGGGAGTGAGCTGGGCCAGAGAGTTGGAAGATGGGGGTTCCAGGGAAGGCACATTGCTGGGTCTCCAGAAGAATAAGAATCAGACTGGGAAGCCCAGCAGGGAAGGGAAAGCCAGGATGCCGTGGGTGGCCTGGTTGGGTATAGCACAGGAAAAGGAGGAATCTAGTGTTTATCCTTTATCCTCAGGCCCCTGCCCCAGTCAGACACCAGGTAAGCTGTGTTCTTGTCACTCTGTCCTCAGTCCTCAAGGGCCTTGCAGGGAGGAAAAGTCTCTCATTGGTGAGATAACTTTCTCCTGGGCCCTCCCAGTGGCCTGGGCCTTCTCTGCTGTCACACACTCTTCCTGGAGACTGGGCTGCAGCAGAGGACTGACTTCCTGTTGCTGCACAGATTTAGAATGTACCCATGGAGCCGGGTCTAGGATGGAGGCTGGAGGCATCCCTGGCCTCAGCTCCCAGTGGATACTGAGGATCTGCTGAGTGTGGAGACATTCCACATAGCAGAGAGAACCAGAAAGTCAGGGAATCTTTGTCTTGGTTCAGCTGTCCCAAAGCTTGGGGGAGACAGGACACACAAAGCAGGGGGTGGGGGGATGGTAGCAACACGGGGCCTCTGCTAAATGAGAGAAACCTGGCTTGTGACTTTATTGTATCACCCTAAATCCTCAATGAACCTCACCCCCGTGAAGCTCCAGCCTAGGCCACTGAGCAGAGATGGCAAGATTCCCCCCATGGTTCTGCGTTTATTGAGTGATTACCTTATGCCAGGTAGTGTCCTAGGTCCTGAGATGACGAGCAAAGGCAAACCTAAGCCCAGCCTTTGGAGCTTAACCCAGGTCTGGTACTGTTATTGGACTGCTTGCAAGGCGGTGAGCAGCCGATGTGGAGTCGAGCAGGAAAGGCATGCTGCAGCCTGGCCTTCGTCGGGCTGGGCTTTGAGCAATAGGTAGGATGTGGGAATGGAGAGGTGAGGACTGTCCTGGGAGGAGACATAGTGAGCTGAAGAACAGGGAGATGAAATATGCAGGGTTTGCTGTGGGATGAAGGCACTGTCTGAGTGGGTCTCTGTTCAGATGGAGACCAAGTTGAGGTGGGTGTTCACGGGCAAGTGCCTGAAGGAGGCTTCTCCAGAGAACTTCTGCCGGACCTGTACCTTGTTGGGGGGCTGCCCTATGGAACCCTCAAGTGCCAAGTCACCTAGACAGGCATTCCCAAAGTTCTGAACAGAGTCCCTCCCCTGTTCCCGGCGTCCCTTTGCACCGGTGGTGGTAAGCTGAGTAAAGCATGGTGGTGGCTGTTGGGCGGCCGCTCCTAGCTTGTTGTGACTGAAGCTACAGGCCTCCAGTATGGTGCCCTTCTTCTAAGCCCTGCGTCGTCAAGGGAGTGACCTCAGGCAGCCAGGACACCAGAGCTAGGGAAGACTGAAACCTCTCATGGGTTGGGAATATGTTGCCATTGGAGGCCCATTCTCTACCGGAATGATTTCTTAGGTAGCCACGTGACCGGGGCTGAGGGCACGGGATCTAGGCACCGTTTACTGTGGGTGGTATCTGGATGCAGTCATTCTCTCAAATGCCAGGCAGGGCCACAGCAGGCCTGGCTGGACTCCTCTCTCATGTCCATCTCACAGGCAGGATTGAAGTGACACCCCTTAGGGACAGCGTCCCACAAGCTCTTTCCTTGCCCACTGGGAGCCCATTCCAAGGGAGGTGATTCCCTGAGGGTTGGCGGGAGAATAGAGCCTTGGCCTTAACAGCACAGGACCCCATCCCCTCTCTCTGCGCCTTGCTGGGTTGGCTCTAGGCAGTCCCCCTCACTGGGGCCTCACTCACCTCATCTAGGCTAACAGGTAGCAATAATTATCATCCAGGGCAGGTGGACTGGGAGTTGAGTGGGTTTTGTCGCACGCACGCACGCATGCACACACGTACCACAGATGTTAAGGTTATGGCTCCTATGGTTGCATCAGGCCACAGGCTACATTTCTGAACTTTCCCATCGATGCTTTGCGGGGGATCTTCTCATCAGTGCCAGACCTCAGGGATAGGTGTGGCTGCTCTGTGAGGGGGAGGTGCCTGAAGAAGGCCTCTGTGGGGAGTCTCCCCCTCTCTCGCATTCTCATCCCTTCCCTTCCCTAGGACCCCCCAACAGCTCCACCTCCCGGCATCTCAGAATCTCTGGCTGCTTAGCCCATCCTGGCCAGCTGGCTGTGCTGTGCTGGCACACTCCCTGGTCTGCTGGTGAGCTATAAATAGCTCCTGCACCCACGGCCTTGGCAAGGTGCTCCTGGCATGGGTGCAGAGGACACTGGAGAAGAGGCAGCTGATCCTGCTGCCCCCGCCAGACCAGGCCCACAGCTGGCCCGAATGGGAAGCAGGGGTCTGTACCACAAGCTCATGGGCCTGGTGAGCTGAGGGGCCTGCCCTGAGAACGGGGTTCAGTAGGCCCTAGGTGCCTAACCAGGGCTGATAGTGAGCTCTAGCACTATTTCTAGATCCCAGGACCAGAATGGTACAGACATGGGAACAAGAGAGTGGCAGCTGAGGGTCTGGGAGGGCTGTGGGATTAGCGGCTGAGCAGAGTGGGCCTGTTTACCACTCTGAGGCAGGCTGACCTCATCCCTGGAAGGACAAAGGCCAGCGGGATATAGAGCCTAGAACTGCATCACTGTGGGTGTCACTGCCCTTAAACCCTGTGACCTTAGCCCCAAGCCAGTGGAGATGCGCCGCAGAGGGGAGACACCTTGCTTTACTGTCAGATGGCTCGGCTCTAGCCATCGGCAGTCGGAAGGGACTGCGTCTGTACTCTGTGGACCTCCTTTCCCACAGGTAGAACACAATCCAGTATCTACCTGTAGCTCCCTGTTTGGCTTACGAGGAAAAGGCCCCCCCGAGGGTGTTTTGACTGATGTTGAATCAGCCCCAGAGGGTTCAGTAGTCTGTGACCAAGTTCCTGCAGGCTAGTCTTCCAGCTGACTCCGCTGTGTGTCCCTAGGCTGCCCTGCCCTCCAGCCAGACACACCAGGCTCTCAGTCCCAGCCCATGGACCTGCGAGTGGGCCAGCGGCCCCCCGTGGAGCCCCCACCGGAGCCTGCGCTGCTGGCCCTGCCGAACCCCCAGCGCCTGCACCGCCACCTCTTCCTAGCAGGCCTCCAACAGCAGCAGCACTCAGCTGAGCCCATGAGGGTAAAGACAGAACTCCCCAGGCACACCCCAGCCTCCCTAGACCATAGCTCCGTCCTTTGCTCCTGCCCCTCCTGAGCTGCCAGCTCTGTCCACAGCTCTCCATGGACCCACCAGTGCCGGAGCTGCAGGGGGGACAGCAGGAACAAGAGCTTCGACAACTCCTCAATAAAGACAAGAGCAAGCGAAGTAAGGGTGGGGCTTGTCTCCCCTCGTTTCTGCCTGGGTGTACAGGGTCAGTCTACCGTAGGTCTGGGGGGAGGAGTGGGGGATGCCCTCTGTTTACCTGGTTCTGCGTGTGAGCAGAGGTGGGTATGGGAGTGCCTAGAGGATGCACAGGAGGGGCGGGGCCTCAGGCTTGGCTAGCTCTCTTGCCCGAGGGGTCCCTGAGACACCCTGTACTGAAAGTGTGGCCTGGGCAGTGGGCAGAGAATGTGCCCAGGAGGCTTCCTATTCACCCGTTGCCACCAGCCTTCCTGGTTCTCTGCCTCTGCAGGTGCTGTAGCCAGCAGTGTGGTCAAACAAAAGCTGGCCGAGGTGATCCTGAAGAAACAGCAGGCGGCCCTTGAGAGGATGGTCCATCCCAGCAGCCCCAGTATCCCCTACAGGTAGGTCACCGCCCTTGGGTCCTCCCTGTGCTCCCTCTTCTCTACATGCTCACCTGTATGTGCATACGGCCCCTCTCCTCCCCTGCACTGATCACCTGCTTCTTTGTGCTTAACCATAGTTCCCGAAGTCCCCCTCAACCAGTACCTGCCTTCCTCTCCCCTTCAGCTTTCTCCCTACATCTCATCTGAGGCCCCTCACATCCCCAGAAGTCCTGGTTCCTAGAAAAGGCTCCTACACTGAGTCTGCAGGGCGTCCTAGGCTCCAAGGCCCGAGTTTTATGCTCAGGGCAAAACATCTTCCTTAGCATGGGTGACCCATTACTGCCACCTGGAGATGGCTCCTGTCATGCCGGCTCCACACTGCCCAGCTCTGTGGGTGGCTCCTTTCCTGGCAGGTGTGCTCAGGAAGGCACCTGTGCAGAGTGAGAGTTCAGGGCCTTTGGGCACCCTGGGCTCCTGAAGTAGCCTTGACGCTCACCCTGCAGAGCTCTTGAGCCCCTGGACACCGAAGGCGCTGCCCGCACCGTGCTTAGCAGCTTTCTGCCTCCTGTTCCCAGCCTGCCCCCTGAACCCCCGGACCACTTTCCCCTGCGTAAAACAGGTGAGCCAGGCACATGGAGACCTCTGAGGGGGTTAGATTAGGTAACTCTGAGGGGATTAGATTAGGTAAAGGTCCTTAGATCTAGTTCAGGAGTGTGGGGGTGAGGGAAAGCTGGGACATTTGGCACACTAGCTTTTAGGGGGTTTTTGTTGTTTTTTGGTTTTGGTTTTGCCTTTTCCCTCTATAACCTAGAGGTGGTTGGGAGGGAAGAGGTCCGGCTTGGTAGTGCATGCCATTAGTCCCAGCACTCAGTAGGCGGAGACAGGTTGAACTCTGTGAGATCGAGGCCATCTTGGTCCACATACTGAGACCCTGTATCAAAAAGAAAAAAAAGGTGAAGGGAAGGGTGGCTGGCATAGGGGTGGAGTGACTCCAGCTCCTCTGCAGTGTCTGAGCCCAACCTGAAGCTGCGATATAAGCCCAAGAAATCCCTGGAGAGGCGCAAGAATCCCCTGCTCAGGAAGGAGAGTGCCCCGCCCAGCCTTCGGAGGAGGCCTGCAGAGACTCTTGGAGGTAGGAGCCAGATGGACCGGATGGACCGGGGAGTGGCTGTCCCGATCCACGATCCACGGTGTTGCCCCTCCTTTAGGCCACCTTCCACCTAGGTGGAAGTTCCCATGCGGGACTGCTGAGTGCCCCACACACCTGCCTGCCAGAGACTGAAACCTCAGCCTGCTGGGTCACCATTTACCGTGAAAATAAGCTTCTGTGGGCCAGCGCTGGTCCGCCAGCTTTCTGTTCCTCTGGGGAGAAAGCAGAAATACATCCCAGCAGGGAAGGAGCCGTGACTGGGGATCTTGCCCGGGACCACCCACTCCTGACCTTCCTTTTTCCTCTCCCCTCAGACTCCTCCCCCAGTAGCAGCAGCACACCTGCGTCAGGGTGCAGCTCCCCCAATGACAGCGAACATGGCCCCAATCCTGCCCTGGGCTCAGAGGTAAGGCCTTGCTGGCGACTGTCCTCTCCTGGGGCAGCTCTGAGTCTCGGTCTTTTCTCAGCGAGTGGCCTGGCCTGAGGCTTCAGGGTCTGGGCAGTCCCTAGTAGGGCCTGTTGGGTGTTCAGGGGACGGCATACCGGAGGGAGAGTTCCAGGACTGGTGACCCGTCACCCTGCTCCCCATGGCAGGCGCTCTTGGGCCAGCGGCTGCGGCTGCAGGAGACCTCTCTGGCCCCGTTCGCTTTGCCGACAGTGTCCTTGCTGCCCGCAATCACGCTGGGGCTGCCTGCCCCTGCCAGGGTGAGTGGCTGGGGCACCCTGCCCCCGCTCCGAGCTTCTCCAGCCTCTTTCCTGCCTGTGACTATTGCCTCACTCTTTTTCTTTCCTCGCCTGGGATCCTCTCAAGCTCTGACTTTCTGCCTTTCTTTCAGGCTGATGGTGACCGCAGGACCCATTCGACCTTGGGCCCCCGGGGTCCAGTCCTGGGGAACCCCCATACTCCCCTCTTCCTGCACCATGGCCTAGAGCCAGAGGCTGCTGGCACCTTACCCTCTCGCCTGCAGCCCGTCCTCCTGCTGGATCCCTCGGTCTCTCATGTCCCACTGTGGACTGGTGAGTCTTGATACTTTTCCCAGGATGGCTGGGATTTCTGCACCTTGCCAAGGGGCCAAGCCCTGGGAATGACCCTCCAGTCCCTCACTGTCTGTAACTCCTCGCCAAGCCCTGCCTCCTCTCTATGGCTCCCAGGGTTCCTTCCTTCCTTACATCATCCTATGTTTTCCAGTGCCTGGGCTTGGGCCCTTGCCCTTCCACTTTGCCCAGCCCTTACTGACCACCGATCGGCTCTCCGGGTCAGGCCTCCACCGGCCACTTAACCGGACCCGCTCAGAACCCCTGCCCCCCAGCACCACCGCCTCCCCTCTGCTGGGCCCCCTGCAGCCGCGCCAGGATCGGCTCAAACCTCATGTCCAGCTGATCAAGGTGAGAGGAACGAGACGGGGGAGGTGCTGAGGGCATGCCTGACTGACTGAGCCCCCGTGGACTGAAGGAAGGACACGAACAAGGAGGAGAGGCCTGGAGGGCAAGACAAGTGGCTGCTGGAGAGCCAGCAGGATGAATGCAGCCTTACCCAACCCACTGCCTGCCACCTGCCCTTCTCTCTGTCCCACTTCTCAGCCAGCCATCTCCCCTCCCCAGAGGCCTGCCAAGCCCAGTGAAAAGCCTCGACTGCGGCAGATACCCTCGGCTGAGGACCTCGAGACAGATGGTGGGGGAGCGGCCCCTGTGGTGAATGACGGCCTGGAACGCAGGGAGTCAGGCCACGTGCCTTCTGAGGGCAGAGGCCCCGTTTCTCTGCAGCAGCACCAACAGGTATGCTGTGCCCGAGGATGCTGAAGAGAGTTTAGTCAGAAGGCTCAGGGCTTGGCATAGGATGGGGAAGGGAAGGAGATAGGAAGTCAAGGCCCACACCAAGGTGCATTAGTACGTGTGTGTGTGCGTGTGTGCGTGTGCGTGTGTGTGTGTGTGTGTGTGTGTGTGTGTGTGCGCGCGCGTGTGTGCGCGTGCGCGCGCACAAATACTCCAGCAGCCTGCTTTCCCAAGGAGAGCCTATTCCTGCTTCTTGGCTTGTCACAGAACCACACATATTCTCAATCTTCACCCTTCTCCCAGCAATTGGCTATCTTATATCCAAAGGTAGCTGGGGCAAAGGACCTGTGTGTGTGTGTGGGGGGAGGGGGTTGTGTGTGTGTGGTGTGTTGGGTGAGGCTGAGCAGGGTGTGTCCTGAGAGCTGTGAAGGAAGGTGTGTCTGCAGGCCTGTGCTCATAGGTCCTTTTTATGAGGGCAGCAAACCTTTCCAGGGAAGAGCTTACCGAATCACATCCCCTTGGCAAAGATGGCCCCAGCAGAGACCCTTTCTCCAAAGACATGGGCTCGGGACCTTACGAACTGGGAAACGGGATTCCACCGGCAGCGCTTGGTGGTGACAGTCCACATGTGTTTAATGTCTCGGGCAGTCCTAGGAGAGGCGATCCCAGTCAGAGCAGACTCGAGGCCTAAGGCGTTCTTGCAAAATCCGGTCACTGGGCCGGGTGCTGGTTTTCAGGGAGCTCAGAGAATAGATAAGCCAGAGCTCACATCTGGAACGTCCCTGGAAAAGGAGTCTACCCGGAGGGTCCCTAGACCTTGGGTAAGAGCAAGTGGCCAGATCTAAGAAACTGGAGACTGTGTCCATGTTTTCTTGCAGGTGTCCCTCTGGGAGCAGCAGCGTCTCGCTGGGCGGCTCTCCCAGGGAAGCCCCAGGGACTCTGTGCTGCTACCTCTGGCCCAGGTTGGACACCGGCCCCTGTCCAGAACTCAGTCTTCCCCAGCGGCCCCCGTTTCCCTGCTGAGCCCAGAGCCCACCTCTCAGACCCAAGTTCTCAACAGCTCAGAGACGCCTGGCACAGGTAAGATCAGAGAGGGACTGGCGGGGAAGCTTCAGGAAGTGGCGAGGGCATGAGTCCGTGTCTGCGGACTGCCTTTCAAGAGAGTTCCGGAGGCCACACCTTAATCTCGTGTGAGCTCCATGGTACCCACGAGGCAGGTGAGGACATGAGGACTCAGGAAACCTAAGCTGACAGGGACTGGTTTACAATTAAGCGACAAAACTGGCAGTCGGGCCAGGACAGGAATTTCAGTCTCCTAACATGACCAGCCCTTTAAAAACAAGAACATTACTCATGATTGCTGTGCTCGTAGAAAAGTATTTTGCACATTTTGAGACATGCAGGAAAAATATAGTAATAATAATAATAATAATGTCACTAAGTTATCTTACTGCCCTAAACTCTGCTGTACCTCATTCCAGGTTTCAGTCAGCCATCGTACCTGTCTGATGTCACAAACGTGTCAGCTATGTTTTTCACCCTGCTTAACTGAGTCCTTTTTAATTTTTTGTTTTGTTTTGTTTTTCGAGACAGGGTGTGTAGCTCTGTGTAGCCTTGGCTGTCCTGGACTCTCCTTGTAGACCAGGCTGGCCTCAAACTCACAGCGATCTGCTGCCCCCACCTCCTGAGTGCTGTTAAAGGCATATGCCGCCATGCCCAGCGAGTCCCTTTTAATTTTTTTTAAGTGGTGCTAGGATTGAACTTAGATTCCTGCTTGTGATGGACAGCTGTTTTGTTTCCAAGCTACTACCAACTCTGCATTCTGCCTTCTCAGCCAGCATATTATAAAAAATCTTACCACGAATCCTTAAAACTGAGATTCTTATATTTTATCATAGTTTTATTTCTTTTTAGCTTTTGAGACAGGTTGTCCCTCTGAGGCTAGCTTTAAACTGGTAGCAGTTTTTCTCTTAGATTCCCAAGTGCTAAGATTTCAGGTGTAAATCACCATGCCCAGCTCAATGTCAATTTTAATTCTTATTAGTTGGACATTTAAACATTTTTAGTTTTAATTTTTATTCTCCCCACCCTACCCCCCACTTCAAGACAGGGTTTTTCTGTGTAGCCCTGGCTGTCCTGAAACTCCCTCTGTAGACCAAGCTGGCCCTAAACTCACAGAGATCTACCTGCCTCTGCCTCCCCAGTGCTGGGATCAAAGGCGTGCACCACCATCACCAAGCTTTAGTGTTAACTTTGTTTTTGAGATAGACTCACTAGGAAGTTCTGGCTGGCATGGAACCCACAGAAATCCGCCTATCTCTGTCTCTCAAGCCCTGGGGTTAGAGTGTGCTCCTCCACACCTGGTCCTTAGTTTTCTTATGTTTAAGTCTTTGCTTCTGTCTGGGATTATCTCTGTAGGGGCACTCCTAAGGAGTGGTATTCCTGGGTAAACTAGAGTGAGCATTTTGAAAGTCCTTGGTATCCTGAGATGTGTGGACACTGACCCTCCCAGGGGCAGGGTGTGTGTACAGGGCCTTTTCTGGAGACTTCCCTTGGGGCAGGCTGAAAGGCAATTCCTTAATACCTTAGAGGGTTGCTTCTGGTACCCCAAGCTCACCTTATAAACATACAAAAACACAGATGCTCCAGTTCTTCATGTGAAAAAGGCATGATGTTTTCGTTTAACCTATGCACATCTTTCCATATATTTAAATCACTTCTATTTTGATTTTGATATATAATACAATGTAGGTACTATGTAAATAGTTTCATGTGATTTGCTTATTATTTACAAGGTAAAATAGTTTTCTGAGTGTTTCCCATGGTGCGGTTGGGAGGCCAGTGACTGTGGGTATCCCTCTCCCAGTCTTTTTTCTTTTTTAGATTTATTTATTTATTTATTATGTGTACAATGTTCTGTCTGTATGTACACCTGTATGCCAGAAGAGGGCACCAGATCTCATTACAGATGGTTGTGAGCCACCGTGTGGTTGCTGGGAACTGAGCTCAGGACCTCTGGAAGAGCAGTCAGTGCTCTTAACCTCTGAGCCTTCTCTCCAGTCCCAACTCTCCCAGTCTTTATGTTTCCCTGGAATTGTTTTTTCCTCTCTGTGTTGGAGCTTCTGAGTTTGTGACACCCACAGGGAGATGTCCTGTGTTAACTCTCTCTAGGTTTAGAGCATGAACTCTCAAGGGCGTAGGAGATGTGTAGGGCCTTATGAGGAGTAAGAGTGCCAACAAGGCCATGCACAGTAGGTATGAGTAGGGGGGTGCTGCCCTGGTGTCTACATCAGGCAGTCTGAGACATTTAGACATGTGCAGAGGGAAGCAGGGCAAGCTCTCCACAGAAGAGCTGCAAAGGGAATGCAGCGGGGGACATGTGCAGGCTCTGGAGGTGTGGGCTGTTCTCCATCTGTAGCCATGGCGGCAGTCTCCCTGGCATCCCAGCCCTGACCTCTGCTTCTTGCAGGGCTGGTCTATGACTCTGTGATGCTGAAGCACCAGTGTTCCTGTGGAGACAACAGCAAGCACCCTGAGCATGCAGGCCGCATCCAGAGCATCTGGTCCCGCCTGCAGGAGCGGGGTCTCCGCAGCCAGTGTGAGGTGAGGAGGTGGGGCTGTGCAAGGGAAGGGCTGAGAGGCCTTAGGGTCAATAAGAGATGACAGAGTGGGCAGTCTGGTGGTGGCAGAGGGGTCGGGGGGGGGAGGAAGGTTTAGGAGCTCTGTGTGCCCTTCCTCAGTGTCTCCGAGGCCGAAAGGCTTCCCTAGAGGAGCTGCAATCAGTCCACTGTGAAAGGCATGTGCTTCTCTATGGCACCAACCCACTCAGCCGACTCAAACTGGATAACGGGAAGCTGACAGGTATGGGAGGGAGACAGATGATGTCTGGCCCTGAATCACCCCAAGGCTGCCCAGATCTCCCTTTATTGCCTCTGCCTTTGTACTTAACTCCTCTTACGACTCCCGTGTTCCTCCCTCACATGACCTGGCCTCTCCCCACAGGACTTCTAGCGCAGCGGACGTTTGTGATGCTACCCTGTGGCGGGGTTGGGGTAAGTATGCCCAGAGCTCTCAAGCGGGCCCTGCCAAGGGCTTTCAGCCTTCTGTTGGGTTCTCTTGGCCACTCCCACCTCCCTGCCACTTGTGACATGTGGTTCTGCCACGCTGGGTAGGGCAGGGCCTTTCCCATTATGCCGATAGGTGTCTCCCTGTCCTGTTAAGTAGGTGTTGAGTGAGGCTCAAGGTGGGGTCACATTGAGGCGTAGGGTTGTGCCCCTTTGCACGACCCCGGTGGTCAAGGCTTGGCCATTCCCACGAGTTGGCAGCTCCGCCTGCCCAGGAGTGGGCCTCTCTCAGGCACTCAAGGTGTACCCTCCTTGACCTCCAGGCCTCGGACTGCCTAGCGTGGGGCTGTGGGGTGCCTCCCGTGTACTTAGAGGTTTAGGACTTCCCTACCTGGGCCACAGCCTTCCAGCCCTCCAGCTTTGCTCACCTCTCTCACTCAGCTGCTGGTGGGGTCTTCCTGCTGCCTCTGGCATGGCCCTCCTTGCCTCAAAATGGTCCCCGTTATGGTACAGGCAAGGTGTGTGGGGGTGAGATGGAGGCTGAGTACAGGAGGGCACGAGGGAGCTGTCACGGGGGCTGCTGGGGGAGCCATTCGATGCCCTGTTCACAACTCCCCCATTTCTTGCCACTTTCTAGTTTTTCCAACTGTTGTTGCTTCTGTTTTCTCCTCCCTTCTCTCCCTCTCTGTCCTCTCTCTCTCTCTCCAGCCTCTTGCGACTCTTTCTGCCTTGCTCGCCTCTCTCGGTCCGCCTCGCCCTTCCCATCTCCCCATCTTGCCCCCCCGGCCCCTCCCTAGCCTTGAGGCCCAGGGACTGGGTTTGGGGGGCCTCCCAGCCTGGGCTAGGGGGCCCGAGTGGAAGACAGTGGTGCAGACGGCCCCTCCAGCTCCGACCATCCCGCAGGGCCTGAGCAGAGGCAGCTGGGGCTTAAAACCCCTCCCGGCCCATACCCCAGTCCCGCCCAGGTAACGCCATGCCCCCTCCCCTGACTGGGGAGGTTGAGTGCTGGCCACACACACACACACAAGCTGGTGCTGGGACTTACGCTGGGAAGAAGTCCTGCTGGGACTGGGGGCACAGGAGGCCTTGCCTTTGGGCGGTGGGGCACTGGGGAGGCAGCTTTGTCTGCCCAGCTCCCTGCCCCTGGGGTCCTGGCCATGGGGTGGGTTGCCTCACTGGAACCCCGGCTTCTATGGGAAGCAAAGGATGACCCGGTCCCCGACCCCGGCCCCTACAGGTAGATACCGACACCGTCTGGAACGAGTTGCATTCCTCCAATGCAGCCCGCTGGGCAGCAGGCAGTGTCACCGACCTTGCCTTCAAAGTAGCTTCCCGGGAGCTGAAGGTAGGAAGTTTAGATTAAAGGCTGGTAAGCTACAGAGGTGGCGCCGGGGTGACAGAGGAGGTTCCTTCCAGGTGCCAAGCTTTAGACACCTTGTTCCTTGTGGATATGGCTACAAGGTTTTGAAAGGGAAATCAGGGCTGGAAGCAAGGTGAGATTTGACCCCTAGGTTCACGCCACTTAGGAAATCAAGCCACTGGGCACTGGGGTGCTGTTGTCTTTGACAGTCCTGACCATCTGAGGTCACTTAAGACCTGTTTTGTGGCTGTAGGTGCATCACAGCCTTTTTTCTTTTTAAAGATTTATTTATTTATGTCATGTAGATGAGTGCAGCCAGGAGGAGGAAACAGGTTCCATTACAGATGGTGGTGAGCCACCATGTGGTTGCTTGGAATTGAACTCAGGGCCTCTAGAAGAGCAGCCAGTGCTCTTAACCTCTGAGCTATCTCTCCAGCTCCTCAAGGCCACGTTTCCATACCACAGGCCCACTCGTTCCATTTAGGCCTGGGATCCGGCCTAATCAGTTGGGGTTGTGCTCAGTGCTCTAGCATAGGTGCCTTGTGATGATTTGCCTACAGCAGCCAGCCCCATTGTCTGAGAGCTCAGAGCCCAAAGCAGGCACTGTGCCCTCGGTAGCAGAAGGGCTCGGCTGTGCTCACCATTCATCCTGATCTTAAAGTCCCAGCTCTACCGTTGGCAGCCACGTGACTTGGGTGGTTAGTTCACCTCGGTTGCCTCCCTCATCTGCGCATTGAGGGCGATGATAATGTTTGTGGGAGGAGAAAATGCAGTCTGTAGGAAGTACTTGGCATGGGGCCAGGCATGCAGTTTTATCTAATCGTCAATAGCTGTCAACGTGATGACAGCCAGCACCTACCAGGTTGGGGTACTCCGTTCAAGTGCAGCTAAAAGCCATAGCAGCAGCATAGAGGCAGAGGTCCGGACCCCTCAGAGGGGCGTGCTGGCGCTCATGCCTTTTACTCCTTAAAGGAAGGGACTGGGGCGAGAAGCAGGCTCAGGCAGACGTGGATTGAGAGATGGCTGTTGGACTGAACAGTGCTCTCCCCCCTTGCAGAACGGCTTTGCTGTGGTGCGGCCCCCGGGACACCATGCAGACCACTCTACAGCCATGTAAGGCATGGGGGAGGGATGTGGTATGGTGGGGGCTGCCTCCGGAGCCCTCCTGTAGGCAGAGGAGTAGGGGGATGGGCTGGCAGGACCCTCTTCTCCTTCCTCCAGGGGCTTTTGCTTCTTCAACTCCGTGGCCATCGCCTGCCGACAGCTCCAGCAGCAAGGCAAGGCCAGCAAGATCCTCATTGTTGACTGGGTAGGTCCCGGTTCCTGTGGTCATCAGACCCAGGCCTGCTGGCAGAACCCTGCCCCTGCCCTCAAGATTCACCTCCATGTCTGGGTTTGGCATTCACCTCTACCTTAAGAATATTTGGGTGGACGCAGCACCCACATTAGAACTCCCAAGAGGCCCAGAAGAGGTGGGAGGCCTCTGCATAAGCTTCTGCTGGGGGACAGGAGTTCATGTGCTGTCTTTAAGCTCCATTGGCTTCTTTACGGCAGAGCAAGCCATTTCCCCTCTACATAGTAACGTAACGGTAATGTCTGACGGCATTGGTATACCATCAGCCACCTCTAGACACTGGCAGTTCTCTGTCTGCTCCTGACGACAGCCCATTTCACAGACGAGGAAAGCGCCTACACGGATTATTATTTGATGCTCACCTCATGGGACGTGAGAGCAAGACGAGTCCTGGGCCAGTTAGCTCTGAAGTATATGTGTCTAACCACGAGGCCGTGTCTCCTCTGCACGGACAGATGGGAAAGGGACATTTCTAAGCAGACATTGAGAACAGTGGGGGAGTTTGTCACAGTTGAACCTATGTGTGGTCTTGTGAGTCCAGGGCAGAGCCCGGCACCTCCTAGAGGACTGGGACTGGGTCCGTTTGAGCTTGTTCACTGACCACGCACACTGCCTCACGACTGTGCAAGACACAGTGGGAAGAGTCGATTCATACAGGACTCAAACACACACACACACATGCGCGTGCGCGGGCATGCGCGCACGCACGCCTCTATAAAGATGGTCTTTGCTGGGTGTGCTGGCACAAGCCTTTAATTAATCTCAGTACTTGGGAGGCAGAGGCAGGTAAGTCTCCGTGAGTGCCAGCCTGGTCTACAGAGTGAGTCTCAGGCTAGCCAAGCCTACATAGTGAAAAATTGTCACAAGATAGGAAGAGTCTTTCCATGTGGAGTTGGGGATCATGCCAGACAGCAGATTTCTTGGGGGTACTCAGTCCTGTGACCCTAGAAACTGTAGTTTCCTGATCAGCGGTCTAGAGTCCCAGGGCTCAGAACACCACTGACCCTGAAGTGTGCCCTACAGAACCTCCGTCTTTCTGCTTCTGGACTTTCCCTAATCAACTGCCTGCTGTGTCATGCAGGATGTTCACCATGGCAACGGCACACAGCAGACGTTCTACCAGGACCCCAGTGTGCTGTACATTTCGCTGCATCGCCATGACGATGGAAACTTCTTCCCAGGCAGTGGGGCTGTGGATGAGGTAACCACATGCTGGGCCAGCGTCTTCCAGCCCGCTGGCTTTCTTGGACTCTCTCTGAGCCCTTCTTCTGTGATCCTGAGCAAACGGCTCACCCTTTCCGAGCCCCCGCTTCCATCCTGGAAGTGAAGAAGCTGGGGGGGATTGGGCCTCTGTTCTCCTCATGTCTTCCTTGCATCTTATTTTTCAGGTGGGCACGGGCAGTGGTGAAGGCTTCAACATCAATGTGGCTTGGGCCGGGGGCCTGGATCCACCCATGGGGGACCCCGAGTACCTGGCTGCCTTCAGGTAAGTCCCCTAGAGTCTCAAGGAGGCCGGTCCACCAGGACAGTGCCCTCCTCCCTTTCCCAGAGCCCTGGGGTGGCAGTTGTCAGCTGGGTTGCTAGCTTGTTTGCCAGACACTGTAGGCCAGCTCCAGCTAAAAAAGAAAAGGAAATGGGGCTGGAGAGATGGCTCAGTGGTTAAGAGCACTGTCTGCTCTTCCAGAGGACCCAGGTTCAATTCCCAGCACCCACATGGCAGCTCACAACTGTCTGTAATGCCAATTCCAAGGGATCTGACACCTTCACATTAATGCACATAAAAATTAAATTATTAAAAAAAAAATGAGACCCAGCCGGATGTGGTGGCACACACCAGGGAGACAGAAGCAGGCTGATCTCTGTGAGTTCGAGGCCACAAAGTGGGTTCCAGGACAGCTGGGGTGACCCAGAGAAACTCTGTCTTGAAAAACCAAAAGTGGGGGTGGGGGGTGGGAGCAAGAATGAGAAAGTGAGAGTTGCACATCCTAAGGCTATTTGGGTAGAGCAAAACATTTAGTCAAAGAAGGCTTCCTGGAGGAGACGGGTCCCTGGCGAGAGATTTGGTGTCCTTAAATGCTGTCCTCATGGAGGGATGGGTTTACCTTAGAAACTGCCGTGGAAAGACCTCCAGGATGTTGTAAGCTGTCCTTGTCTCCTTCATTCCAGGCCCCTAGGTCTGTTTAGGAAAACAGAGCCCTAGAGTTATCTGGAAGTCCTTTTCTCCATGAGATTGAGTTCTGCAGGGGCCCTGAGTGGGACTTCCGGTGTCTGTTCTGAGCTTAAGTGTCAAAGTAGCCAGCGGTGCTGGGTTAGGGGCAGGTGGGGGAAGAAGATGAAGAGTGGAGCTTGGCAACCCGGGACCTCAAAGGGTCCAGTGGTGCTGGTTCATTCTCAGGCGGAGACACAGCGTGCTCAACTCCAGCCATAATGCTGAGTGTTTTCAGCCCCTGAGGCTTAGTGACCAGAGCAAGCCCCGTTTAGCTGGCTGGGCGAGTCACACACCGTGACCTCTCTCATGCACATCCTTCATTCATCTCATCACTGTCAGCTTTGCCCCCATTCTGCCTCTAGTTAAATTCTCTGCGTGGCTGAATCCTGAGGCTGGCGTAGCCCAGCCCCAGCGGCTGAGGAGAGCAGAGCTTCTCCTAGTCCCATTAGGACAACACAGTGTGTCTTGGTGTCCTGGGGGCAGGTGCCCTCAGCGAAGTTGTCAGGGGGAGCTAGTGTGGGCTGGCCCACTCCGTGTGTTGACCATGCCTCTCCTTGCATCTTCAGGATAGTGGTGATGCCCATTGCCCGGGAGTTTGCTCCAGACCTGGTCCTGGTGTCTGCTGGGTTTGATGCTGCGGAGGGTCACCCAGCCCCGCTGGGTGGCTACCATGTTTCTGCCAAATGTAAGGGGGCCCCTGGATGTGGGGGAGATGTGGGGAACAAGAGCCAGGCTTTGTGGGGACAGGAATGCACTGCCAAAATGAGGGGGGGACAGGAAGCAGTGGCCACCATCCAGGGCCACATGTCTGGAGTAGAACTTCAGGCCCTGGACTCCCCTGGGTCGGCCCAGCCCAGCCCAGCACAGGCCTCCTCTTCAGGACCAGGCCAGATATCCACAGGTCAGACCCCTGGAGACTTAGGTCTGCCAGATGGAAACCCAGTTGTAAAAGTCAGGCTTCCAGACTGGGCTGTCCGCTGCCTCAGAGGGAGGAAGTTAGATCAGAGTTCCCAGAACAGATCTGTCTCAGTGCAGTCACTATGCCACAAGGTCTGGGGACAGAGAGGTAGTTGTGGCCCAGTGAGAGAGACTTGGGCTGGAGGTGATGCTGGGGTCCGAGTCTCAGACCCTTAAGTTCTCAAGAGTTTAGAATGAAGCATGTGAATGGGCTTTGCATGGGGCTCTCGTCTTTAAGACAATGCCTGTACAGGAAGATGCAAGCAAGGAAGTGACAGAGGTAGTGAATGGGTCTGCCTCTCCTCCAGCCCCCTCTTCTTTCTCTCACCTCATCCATCTAGGTTTTGGGTACATGACACAGCAGCTAATGAACTTGGCCGGAGGCGCAGTGGTGTTAGCCTTAGAGGGTGGCCATGACCTCAAAGCCATCTGTGACGCCTCTGAGGCCTGTGTGGCAGCTCTTCTGGGCAACAAGGTAAGCCCCCTGCGGGCAGCTATCCTTCTACAGGGCCAATGAGCCTGGCTCCCGCAGCTCCGGGACAAAGATGAGATGGGAAGAGGTAGGGCTGGAACAGGATGGCATAGTAGGCACCTTCCCAGGTCAGGTCTAGGGCCATCGTCTTCTGACCTCAGAGAGCCGGCAGCCCGCGTTTGTGCAGGTCCCTGGGGTCCCTGATGGAATGTTTCTGTAGGTGGATCCCCTCTCGGAAGAAGGCTGGAAGCAGAAACCCAACCTCAATGCCATCCGCTCTCTAGAAGCTGTGATCAGGGTGCAAAGTAAGTTCTTCCCCAGGACACTTGCTGGGTCCAAACTTGGGAGAGCCTCAAGGGCCCACCATCCCAGGGGCAAGGGACTCAGAGAGTCCAGTGCCAGCTAGGTCAGGGGCACACTGACAGTCTAAGATAGGATTCCCAGGAACTACCCTAGGGGTAATGGTGGCCATACCCCCATGAGTGGTGGACCCAGCACAGACAGTGGCTTCCTTATGGCAGGGCAGGCCCTCCCATCTCTGGCTATAGTCTTGGGTCAGGGACCAGGGGCCAGGCTGACAGCAACACTCAGGCCTTGTTTGCTAAAGAGGCCTGGTTTAACCTCTTCAGTGCTGGTCACAGCGGCTGGAAAGCTGTGGGGAGGGCCTGCCTGGGTCTCACAGTAGAACCATTTTGAAGAGCTCACCGATGGAAAACATGTTAAAGATTGAGCTTCAACTGGGTTATCTGCTGAGCACTTCCTGTGATGGTCCAGAATCTCTGCTAGGATATGGCAATAAGTAGGTTCCCCGTATTCAGATATGGTTTGGGAAACAGAGACCAAGCCACAGATACAGCTGATGGGCCAGGTTCTGCCCTGAGCTGGTCCATACCCATCACTGTCTCAGAATAACAGGACCATGAGTGTTCCCACAGACCAGAGATGGCGGTGCAGAGCAGCTGTGGGGATGCTTGACCCTTCTCGTTGCCGTGTTTTCTTACCTCCTATGACCCCACCCCTTTCCTCGGTACCGGTAATTGAACTTAGTCAACTGCTGACCTACAGCCTTAGCTCTTCGGGTGTTTAGTTTTGTTTGATACAGCATCTCCTGTGTAGTTCAGGCTGTCTTCTAGCGCGTGCTCCCCCTACCTCTGCAAGCTGGAATTACAAGCATTCATTTCCATGCCTGGCTCCTAGGGGTAGACCAAGCACTGTGGAGGCCACGTGAGGGGAACCCTGTGCCCCAGAAAGCTAAGGCATGAGGATATGTGAGCAAATCTTGACATAAGCCAGATGTGGGGACAAGCGAACCCTCCTGGTGCTTTTGGGATCCATACACCTATGGAGTGGCCTCTTATTATTTACTTGTTTTTGGTTTTTTGAGGCAGGGTCTCTTCGTAGCCCTGGCTGCCCTGGAACTCATTAAGTAGACCAGGCTGGTCTTAAACTCAGTAATCCAACTGCCTCAGCCTCCCGAGTGCTAGGATTAAAGGTGTGTGCCAACAAACCCGGTTTTATTTACTTTCTTAATTATTTTTTTATGTTGTATGGGTATTCTGTCTGCATGTATATCCAGCAACATGCACATGCGCTACCCATATAGGCCAGAAGGGGGCATCAGATCTCTGAATCCAAAGTTTCCGATGGTGGTGAGCTACCGTGTAGAAGCTTGAGAGTCAAGCCCAGGTCCTCTGGAAGAGCAGCCAGTGTTCTGTTGGCCCTTCCGTCTCGCCAACCCTCTCGAGTGGAATTTTAGCCAGAGAGGATGAGAAAGACGTTTGGTCATCTATGCAGATGGCCTCAGAACCATGTTGAATCTGCTGTGTTACCCAGGGCTGTAGGGAAGGGTTGACTAGGGAGGGTGTTTGACTGAGAGGTGAGGGCAGGAAGGGGAGCTGAATGCTATTCTTGGGCTCTGCGCCAGAGTCCTCAGCCTTGGTATCGGTCCAGAGTATAACTCAAACAGCTTGTCTTCCCACAACTGACCCAGGGTCTTGTCCTAGGGAAATACTGGGACTGCATGCAGCGCTTGGCCTCCTGTCCAGACTCTTGGCTGCCCAGGATGCCAGGGGCTGATGCAGAAGTGGAAGCTGTGACGGCACTGGCATCCCTCTCCGTGGGCATCCTGGCTGAAGACAGGTAATGCCAGAGCCCCAGCCTGAGGCCCATGGCCTCCTAATCCCCTTGGATCCTCCCAACTTGAAGACCCCAGACCCTCACGCAACTAACATGTCTCAAGCCTGTACAGCGGGGCTGTGAGGGTAACTCCACTCAAGCCCAGAGCCTGACAGCCTTCTAGCATCCTGCCTTTGTTCCCCTCCCAGGCCTCCGGAACAGCTGGTGGAAGAGGAAGAACCCATGAATCTCTAGGGTTTCAGAACACACCACCTGCCCATCAGATATGGCTCTCCTCACCTCTGTTGTCAGCCCTGCTCCGGGGTCTGCAGAGATCCTCTGGACAGGTAGTCAGGTCCAGAATGCAGCCTACCCTGACCGCTACCCCAAGGAACTTGAGAAGGCCACCGGGTATGGGATGGGCACCAGGGAGGACTCTGTGAGGAGGCAGGCTGGGTCTGGGGTCTTCTAGAGCAGACCCGGCCCTCTGCTGTCCAGGCCCCTCGCTGTGGCCTCTATCCCTCAGGACCGCACAAAGGAGGACTGGCTGAAGTGGGCCCACCCATAACCACTATTTCTAACTTGGCTTCAGCCTGGGTGGCCCTTCCTGGGTTCTGGAGGGCTAAAGGAGTGGGAGGAGCCAAGGGCCCCCTATTCCTGAGATCAGGAGAGTTTCCTCCCACCTGCTTCCCCAGATGCCTTTGTGGTAGCACTAGGCCCTAAGAGCCACTCTGAGCTGCGCTCTCCCCGTGCATGAGCAGTCACCTGTAGGCCTCCCATCTGGTCACTGTCCCACCAGAGGCCACCCTGTGAGGAACTATCTCAGTGCCCTGGTGCAGTAGACAGATGCTCTCTGTGCTTCCTGTCCCAATGGTGCCAAACCTTCATCTCCCTTCAAAAGCACAACACAGTCCCAGGGATGCCTGGGCACTGGCCCCAGTTTGAGCCTTCTGTTTCTGGGGCTCCCCCACCCTCAGCTCTGACCGCTGCCCCACCCAGGACTAGCTTAACTGAGGGAGGATAAGGTGGGAGAGTAGACAGACATGGAGAAGGGGAGGCCACCCCAGAAGCCCTCAAGGCTTCTGAGGTCTTGGCCTGGGTCCAAGGAAGAGTATTTGTGTGTATGTGTGTGTGCAGGTGTGTGTGTGCGTGGGGGGGGGGGGAGTGTGTGTGTCTTCTCCAGAACCCAACATACCTTGTGTATGTATGCATGTTTTTGTAAAAAAGAAAAAAAATGAAAAAAAAAAAAAACTTCTGAACAATATATGTTTTATTTGCTTTAAAGTCCTTGTGAGAACGCCTCCTGGATGTTGGTGGGACATCATCAGTGGGGTGGTGTGCGCGCCGGACACCCTGCAGTGGGCTGAGGAAAGGCTTGGGCCTAGCTCAGACCCTCTGGTCCCTTTCCCGTTCGTGGCTACTGCATGCAGGAAGGAACCACTCTTTTTCACGCTTACCAGCCCAGGTGAAAAAGGAGATGACTGTGGCTGAGTCCTACAGACCGGTTCTGTGGGATTCAGGGACTTAGTTCGCCAAGAAAGTCGTGAAGCAGGTGCGCCTGGGCTTAAGCACTGTCCAGGAGGCCAGTAAAGTCACTGCCTCCTGTACAGGTAGGAGCGTCTCTCCGTAGACGGCTCCAGAAGTAGACGTGGTGTCTGGCCCTTCCCTGCTCGGAAGCACCATGATGTTTTAAGTTTGTGCCATAAAGGGCGGGTGAGGCAACAGGCCAGGACACGTCGTGCCCAGCGCACGCAGAGGGAGGTGTCAGTTCCTGCCCTTCTGGTTCTGAGTCTGCCTATCCTGGTCACCATGTACCCTGGATCCCCATGCAGCCTGGCTGGGGTAGAAGAAAAGATTCCCTTTCCCATCGACCTTGGCCTGGGACGGGGGGAGGTGGAATCTGTAGGGGATGCTGAGGCTGTGGGCATTTCAGCCTTGGCTGGTACAAGGCTGGGAGAGCAGAGGAGACCTGAGATAGTGGTCTCCCACTAGCTCAAGAGGGACCAGAGATGGGATGGACTACCCATTAGCCCCAAGCTTACGTTAAGGAGATAATCAGATAGCTGGAAACCCCACCTTGCCCACTCTTGCCCCCCCAAGACCCTCGCCCCCAAAGAAACACCCTGAGGCTGATAAAAATGGCCGCTGTATTTCTGCTAAAGTGACAGTGACACGGGTAAGGCAGGACCCAGGTGGGGAAGTAGACGTGCAAAATGACAGCCTAAAAGGCTGGATGTGGCAGCCCCTGCCCTCCCTCTCTGCTTAGGTAAGGCTTTGGGCCCATGTCCACTCAAAAGAGTTTCTTCGGGAGAGAGACGATGAAAAGTCAAAACAGGGGTCTGGTGCAGGGAGAAGGTCCCTGTGGTCAGGGAGGTCTTGTGCATTGGGGGGCAGGTGGAGTACGAAGACCAGGAGTATAGATGGAGAGTTCCCTCTAGCCCCCCAGGTTACCCCCTATCCCAAAGCCCTTCCAGGGCGTGTTTCCTGTGGTCCTCAAGTCTAGCCTCTGGTCTACGTGGTCACGTGTGCGTGTGTGATACACAGGAATGGTTGCCCGGCTCTAGCACCCTCTTGGGAAACAGATTTTGCATGGGGAGGTAGGACGACACACTGGATTCTGCTCAGCTCTGCTGCTTGGGCAAAGAGCCAGTTGTCCATTCCCCAGAGACTCATGAATTTGGCCACCTGACCCTTGAGGACAATAGGGTGGGAGAGCTGGGATGGGATTTGGAGATCTCTACGAGAGATTCCTTACCTGACCCAGCCTTCCCAGGTGCTCCACCCCCAGCTTCAATGAAGTCTGGGGCAACAAGGAAGCCTGTCGTGGCCTCTGCCACTAGCCACAGGTCCAGACCTCACAATCCTGCCCCCTGATGCCTGGAGCTCATTGTAATGACCCTACTTACAAAGATTCCTCAGAGTGCTAAGAAAATAGATCCATTTGGAAAGCTCTAAGCTGCCCTCTAGTCAGGCTAATGGACAGACTGGTAGTACCCTTATGTCTCCCCCAGAAAGGGGACCAGACAGCTTTCTGGGAAAGTGAACTGGCCCTGCTGTATATACTCTGCCAAGGTTCTGGAGGCCCCAGGGACTGGGGCAGGCTCACTTGGTGACAGGTCCTGAGGACCCCCAGGCCGTAGTGACCTCATCCCCGGGGTCAGAAATCGCTGAGGATGCTGATGTCTGCGAAGTCAGCCCGGTAGCGGTGGGCGTAGAGGCTGAGTAGGAAGGCCCACTTGAAGGAGATGAAGCTCCAGACGCAGGAGAGGTAGTAGCTGGTCGGGTCTTTGAGACCTGCAAGGAAGAGGAGGAGCCAGGTGGTCACTTGTGAGATTGGCCCACAGCACCACAGCAGCCACAAGGCCAGGACCAGCCTCCTTCCCGCTCCACAACTCTCCAAGCCTCCTGCTTCTGAATCAAAGCTAGGGAAACCCTGGCAGGTGGTGCAGGCTTAGGGTACCCTTGCAGGTGCAGTCACAAAGCTGGGGGCATGGAAGGAGGTCAGAGTTGGCCAGCAGGTCTGTGCCCACCCACTCAGCTTTGTGTCATGCAACCAGGCCACTCACTCCCAAGCTACAGGGGACAGCCTCGGCTATTTCTTACCACAACCACCAGGGGGTGCTGCCCTCCTGGGGCGAGGCAGAGGTGAAAGGACTCCCCCCCAACTCTGGGTGTTGGCTGCCCCCAACACTTCAGACCAGCCTGGAATCCATATACCCTGAGGAGGTAGGAACAGTAGAGAACCCCAGCAGGAGAGGTCAAGTGATCCATGCAGCCCTTGTAGAAAGTATACTCCCCGGGGCTCCCTACCCCCAGGCCCTCTCCCTTCCTCCTCTCCCTGGAGGCTCCTCACTCTGGTGCTGGGTGATGGCCAACGTCAGGAAGGTGCAGAAGGCGGAGACGGACACGGCCGAGAAGAGGACACCCACGAAGAAGAAGCCCCGCAGCCCCTTGAGCCAGGTCCTCCAGTAATCCTGCATGCACATCACGTGAGTCACCAACACCCACAGAGCCAGGACACCTGTGGGGACAGACTCAGTCAGCAGGGCCTGGCCCACTGCCTGGCCTCTAGCCCGGGGGCCCCACACTAGGGCCCTTGAAGTCCACTAGGCCAGCTCTACCCTGATGATGACACTGTCGTGAGACTGGCCCTCATGACAGTGACGTGCTATCCGTGAGATGTTATGTTACCACTTGAACATAGAAGCATGAGAATGTAGCTGCCCTCCAGAAAGCCAGGCATTAAAGAGATCTGTGGAGAACAAAACCACGCCGGTCTTTGTGATTTGTACTTTCACCAACTTTTCCTTTCTTCTTCCTCCTCCTCTTCTACTTCTTTTGCAAGAAACAAGGGCTGTTTTTTTTTTTTTTGTTTTTTGTTTTCTTTTGGTGTTTTGAGACTGGATTTTTTGTGTGTAGCCTTGGCTGTCCTGGAACTAGCTCTGCAGCCAGGCTGGCCTCAAACTGCCTCTGCCTCCCAAGGGCTGGGATTAAAGGCAGGCACCGCCACATCCAGGTTGAAAATACTGTGTTAGCTAGGTTGTCGTGGCACACACCTTTAATCCCAGCCCTTGGGAGGCCAAGGCACGTGGATCTCTGAGTTGGAGGCCAGCCTGGCCTACAGAGCAAGTTCCAGGACAGCCAGGGCTACACAGAGAGACCCTGTCTGGAAAACAAAACAACAAGAACCACCCAACTATGTTAAATGTTCTCATTTGCAGTATCTAATGGGGCACATGTCCATACACAGAATCCACGTAAACAGGATTTGTTTGACTCTGAGAATTTTACATATAGATTTCCTAGTGTCCATTTCCTTGTGCCACAGAGGTGGCAAAGAATGCCCACTCCCACAGTCCTCCTCTGCCTGGTCCTCAGGACCATACCCTCTGGCTCCTGCAGCTGAGCTCTTTGGCATCAGGGGCTGTTCTGAACTCTGCACTGGTCTTGCAGAAACAGGAAGCCCTGTCATGAGGCCCCCAGGGCCACTTGGCACCCACGTGGCCTACTTGCTTTGGTCTAGGCCTCCTACCATTCTTCCAGTGTATGGCAAAGGGCAGGCTAGCATCCCAAACCCTTCTGGGCATGCCCTCTGGGCCTGGCAGGCACATCTAGGATGCCAGCTGCTCTCAGTCAATACAATAGAATACAATACAACCCCTCAGTGCCAGGCGCTGCCTGCTAGAGCAGTTAAAAAAAAAATGGAACAAATACCAGTGCCGTTGGCAAGGACCTAGAGAAGGCTGTGGGCCCAGGCAAAGGGAGAATGAGGGCAGAAAGACTGCCAGCTGTAAGCTCTCAGGACAGCCATGGATGGGTTGCAGGCAGGCCTTTCAAACTGCTGCATGCAGGAGATGAGAGCCCTTTCAAACCATCAGCTGCATACAGCACAAGTGCTGTGACCTCTCAGAGGGACAGACATCTGTCTGGCTGTGAAGGAGGTTGTATCAGGGATAGAGAGAAGCAAAGGGACCCTTAGACAGCCTCCAGGCATCATATTTCTTAGGCTGGGAAAGGAGTACAGATGTTTTTTAAATTGCTTCTCCTCTTGACATGCCTGAAATGTTTTAAACTTTTTTTTTTTTTAAGTTATGAAGCATGGAGTGGGGGTGGCAAGCAGAGAAATCTAGTTATCACGGGGCTATGATGACTAGCTTAATTATCACAATCAGGGCAAAAACCAAACCGGGATAACACAAACCAGGAAGCTTAGGACAAGGCACTGTTGTGTCCTAGTGCCTTGGTGCTGCCAAATATGAAAAAGGACGAGCCCTGAGGTTCTGCCAGTCTGGACAAGCAAGAAATCCGGGGCTTTTTCTTGGGTGGGAATGAGCCCACCAACCCACCCATCTTACCCTGCTTTCCCCACCTGCTAATCTGACACCCACCCACCCTCCACCATCACCATCCTTTTGGTTCAGCCTGAGCTGGCCCTCAGGCTTCCTCCTTGGAATGGGTTCCCATTATCTCTGAGTTCTGAGTGGGTGAAAACAGGCCTCCATCTCGATCTCAGTAGGAAGCCTCAGGGGCCAGAGGAAGCCCAAATACTAATCTCGGCTTCACCCTTCCTGAGCTGTTTTTTTTCCAGCAACATCCAAGGATGTCTCCTTCAAGTTTCCACCTGCAGAGAGTTGGCTGGTTTCTCTTATTCGGGTGTTGGGGGCACCCCTAAACACAGGGCACTGCAGACACAGCTTGCTTTACCCTAAGGAAATGCACATGGTTTCTTTTCTTTTCTTTCTTTCTTTCCTTCCTTCCTTTCTTTCCTTTTTGTTTTTGTTTTTGAGTTAAGGGTTTCTCTGTGTGGTCCTGGATATCTTGGACTTGCTTTGTACACCAGATTGGCCTCAAACTCACAGAGATCTGCCTGCCGCTGCCTCCTGAGTGCTGGGATTACCGGCGTGCTGCACAATTTCTTAAAGGGCTTTTGTCACTGAGCATTTTGGGGACAATCCAGTTCCTTCCCGTGACTTGTCCTCTCTCCTCTTCTCATGCAGTGGGCGCAGAAACTGAGCGCTGAGCTCCTGTCCCACTTGAAGATTCTGGAAGCCAGCTTAGGAGGGAAAAGACAGTCAGAGCAGCTCCTCTGTGACTAAGCAATTTCGGGGTTAGAAAATGCTGAACTAGGAAGTGTAAAGATGTCTCACACCACCAGCATGACCTAGGGGTTCCCCCAAATGCTCACTCGCCCACCAGTAGCCCAGAAGTGCTGAGCAGGAAGAGAAGGAAGAGGGTGGCTCAAGGGGCTTCCCTTGAACCCGGCTCCAGCCCTGTACTCCGGCCTCCTCTAGGCAAACATGCTAAGGCTGGAGGCCTCCTCCCACCCTGGTCCTCCTTGAAGAGATGCTTCATCCACAAGTGGTCACCGAGGTCCCTTCCTGGTCCCGTCCTATACTCCTGTAGGAAGCAATTCTACCCTGTGTTCCTGTTCCCCTTCCTAGGATACTCAAGGGTCCAGGATGCCTGGTCTAATAACACGGGCAGTATGGACAAGTCCCCAGCCCTACCTGCCTACAGGAGCAAGCTAACCTTAGCTTGGCTCCACTCTACCTACGCTGAGGCTAGACCTGCCTACCCTCTGGGTTCACAGGCTTGGTTAGGGAAAGCACTTCCAGCCACTGGGCTGGATAAGGAGCTAGGAGACAGCCAAGGGAGACTATGGAGTAAATACAGGCATTTGGTATATCACTCAGGACACACCCCAGACCTGTAGCTCTGCTCTGAGGACAAAGGAGACCCAGGGCGGGCAGCCAGAGTCCTCTTGATCAAGGCTCAGCTGTGAAGAATGTGAGGGAACAAGTGCTCCACCTTCCATGGCTCTCTGGACACAGGGCGAGCGTGTTAGCTGGGGCTCTCAGTGGAGAGCCAGAGTGGGGGTCCGATGAGGATGCAGCCTCTCTGGTGAACCCACAGGTTTTTGTTGTTTGTTTGTTTTTGTTTTGTTTTTTGTTTTTTTTGGACTACTGCCTTTTTGCAAAGTCACTTCCTCCCAGATTCCCGCCAGGATAAGCGTGAGTCCTCACCCTAAGTGCTCCAGAAGCCAGCATACCCAACGGCCGCAACTGACCAACACAGCAAGAACCCCACCGAGATGGACCTCAGTGACTCAGCAATTTCTGGGCTGCAAAATGCTGAGTCAGAATCGGAATGCTCAAAAGTCAGAAACCTGCTGACATTCCACCCCAGAAGAGGAAGAAGGGTGACTGGCCTCGGACCCCCTGCTGCAACCCATGCTGGGTGGGGAGAGAGTGGGACTGTGGCCTGGTAACTCTTCACCTACCAGCCACTATCACCAAGCAGTTTTGGCTCCTCCACAACCACCTCTGGTTGCCAAAGTCCAGGCTAGCTGGGAGATTTGCGTTCCTGGTCCAGCTAACTGCTGCCAAGTAAGCGACATCCCTAAAGGCAGCTTCACAGCCAGCCTGCCTCTGGCCAGGCCAGGCCGGCAAGGAAAGAACAGACATAGAATGGGTCAGAGGGAGGGGCTGCCTGGAGTGGGGGCTGGAACCCTTCCTCTGCTGTCTGTTTGTTTGGTGGCTGTTCTGTAGACTAGGCTGGCCTCAAACTCAGAGATCAGCCAGCCTCTGCCTCCAGAGGGCTGGGATTAAAGGCTTGTGCCTCCACCACCTCCAGGCAATAAACTGCTAGACAACAAGGCTGGGGAGAGTAGCACACAGCACTGACCGCCTGGAGAGGAATCAGCCTTGTCCCCCCGAAGAAGGGAAGCTGGAGCCCAGCAGGCACCACTGTGCCTCACACAGGTAGGAATTGATAACCTCCAGTCCCATGTCTTACTCAACACAGTCAGCTGATCCCAGGGAAGCCCTTCCTCCTTCCTGCAACCCGAGAGTTCATCTCAAGCCTCAACATCCAGCCACAGGCCCTGGCAGTGCCCTCCAAACCCTGAAGCAGCTGCGCCAATAGGAAGTGTGGAAGAGGCCAGTAGAGGGGAAAGGCGCTATACACGAACTGGCTAGCAGAGCTGGCTGTCCAGGACGGCCACCATTCAGGCTGGAGAACTCCCAGCTGGGGCGCAAACTGAACGTTCTTGGTGAGCCCAGTGCCTCGCTTGGCATGGCTTAGGTTTAGGAGCCTGGCGTGCCCGCTGATAAGGCAGGAGGCCCACCTGTGGCTCCCTCTCCAGGATGGCTCTCTGTGCAGTCAGTGGCAACATGCATTAGTTTTGTTGTTGTTTTTAGTCTTCCAGACAGGGGTTCTCTGTGTAGCTTTGGCTATTCTGGAACTCACTCTGCAGACCAGGCTGGCCTTGAACTCAGAGATCCACGTGCCTCTGCCTCTCAAGTGCTGGGACTAAAGGCGTGCGCCACCGCCACTCAGTATGAATTAATTCTTTTTAGTTATTCCATTTGTAGATCTTTTGGCCAAAGATTTCAGTCATAGAATAAGATCTTTTTATATCAAAGTGTTATCTTTACACACACTGTCCCCATACAAATTATTTCATGTGTACAATTTAGTTAATTTTTTTCTTCTTCTTCGTCTTCTTTTTTCTGAGACAGTGTTTCTCTGTGTAGCCCTGCTATCCTGATTTGTAGACCAGGCTGGCCTCCAACTCACAGAGATCTACCTGCCCCTGCCTCCCAAATGCTGGGATTATAGGCGTGTGCCACTGAGCCCAGCTCGGGTTAATTTTCTTAGTAAGACTTTTAGTATCTTTAGTATGCTTAATTTGAATCCTTCTGAGTTCTATGGAGATCAGGTCAGCCAGGCTTTCAAGGCTGAGCCACTTTGGGAGCCCATCATGTGGCTGTTGTAATCCCAGACAAATTATTTTTGCACCCTAAGCCTCGATTTTTTTCTAACTGTAAAATGGGCACAATAATGCCTCCTTCAGAGGACAAAAATAAAGATCAGGAAGTAGATTGCTCAGCGCAGCATGAAGTATTAAATTTTGCCAAATAATATATTTGGCCTTCACATGGAGAGATTAAACAGCGCGACCAAGGTACAGGTACAGGGCACTGCTCAACGCTGTGACCCCCTCCTGTTACCTCACTGACTGGCAGATTCACACTGGTTCCAACCACAGCAGGTGGACGCGGGTGCAAAGGAATTGTCCAGTAACAGAGCCTCCAGGACACAGACCTGAGCTGAGGGCCTCTGGGGCTGGGAGGGGCTGGTTGATGGGTTTCCCCACGAACCCCCACTTATTGTAAGAGAGGCGGGAATCCCGCAGGAACAGCGTGTGTGTTGCAGGACCGAGGGTGGCCAGGGGGGTGGGCGCGCAGAGGACGCTGTAGTGGCCACTGGGTGGAAGGTACATCAACAGGGTGCTAGGACGCGACAACCCCGGAGCGGCGGAGCTGTACGAACGAACGACAGAGCCGAGCTGTCGGCAGGCTCCCTAGGTCGGGCCGCGTTCGTTGGGCATCGGGTCCCAGAGGCCCTGGCAATGCCCAGCAACCCGGGCCTGCACTGCCACTGCCCTCTTCGAGGTAAACAACCTTCCCGCCCCGAGGCAGCGCCGCTTCAGCCGCCGTGCTCAGCAGCTGACAGCGTCCCCCTCCCCGCGCGCCCCGATCGCCCCGCGATCCCCCCGGGATACCTGCGAGACCCCCCATTGCCGCAGTGCCCGGCTGGCGGTAGACCAGCGTCCAGACGAAGAAGATGGAGAAGCCGGACACCGAACCGAAGCCGGAGTAGGCGGCGCGGAGGCCGAGCTGCCGCCGGGACGGGGCCATGGGGGCAGCGGAGGAGCAGCGCCGCCGACTCGCAGGTGCAGGGCCCGAGCTGGAGCCCCAGCCCCAGCCCGAGCCGGAGCCTGAGCCGCTGGCGCCCGGTGCTCCGCCCCCAGCCCGCCCCCGATGCCGGCGGCACAGCGCCCTCCCCGGCCGGAGGCCGCTTGGGACGCACACGTGACCCGGACAACCGCGGCTTTGCCTAGGCCGGCGACCCCTGGTGGAACTGCAGGGTTCTGAGCTCATCCCCAGACTCCGTCCAGCTACCTGGCGGTCCTTGGCGAGCCTGGAAATAGGTCTTTACCCGAGCCAGCTGCAAGGATTACTCTTGGCTGTCTTGGAATTCCATATGTAGACCAGGCTGGCTTGGGACTCGTGGAGACCCACCTGGCTCTTCCTCCTGAGTTCCGGGATTAAATTTTGAATAAAGAAACTCAAACGCACATGAAATTTCTAATTAAGATGATAGAAACATCTAGGTGTGGTCCAGAGCTAGGGAAAAACATAAACTGGGCATGATGGCACACACCTGTAATCCTGGCACTTGGGAAGTGGCTAAGGCACACAGAGACTGTTTTGGGACACACACACACACAACCTGGGGAACTGCTTTGGTTCCCCTAGTCCTCCAAAATTAAATAAGAAAAAAAAATGAAAATCTAAAATAATACAACATACAATCAATTAATATATTAATTCTTTCTACCAGCCAGAGCCAAGTACTGGTGGTGCATGCCTTTAATCCCAGCACTCACTAGGCAGAGGCAGGTGGATCGCTGTGAGTTCCAGGCCAGCCAGGGCTACACAGAGAAACCCTGTCTCCAAAAACAAAATAAAGAAAAAGATTCTTTCCACCCATATTCCCAACCACTGGGTTCCCTCTCAAGAGTTATACGCATCACACAAGTTCGCCCCGCACCCCACACAACCTTCCAGCCTCCAACACCTTCTTCTCACTGGCTGCTTCCCTCTCATTTTCACTATCCTCACCCCACAATTCCTTTCGAGCTTGTCCCAGCCTCTGCAGTGTATCCACGGCAGAACTGTGCTGTGTTCCCACTCGCTCAGCTCCATAAGTCTGAAGGGCTGACAAGGGAAGTCAAAGCAGAAGCCGGCTTCTGCACTCCAGGACCCAGAGTCCTGTGGCAGAGCCAGCCACACCCCCATTGGCCACAGCGTAAGTAACGTGTATTCCTTGCACTCCTTTCCTCTCGCCGGGGCAACAACTGCTACAAATGTAATGGTCTGAAGCAACAGAAATGTATCATAGTCCAAGAGTCAAGCTTTCGGATCCAAATAGAAGCGTCCTTGCACTAAAAAGCGAGGGGACTCCAGGGCTGCCTCTGCAGGGAGGCTGTAGGAGCAGCTGTTTGCTACAGCTTCCAGACAGGCTGAGACCCCTCCAGGCCCATTCCTCCCTCTTTCTCCCATAAGGAGCACAGTAATCCAGGATAACCGCCCCCACACACACCACCTCAAGATCCTCAACTCCCTTCTGTCAGCAAAACTCATCAAGTAGGGCACTCGGAGCTTGCAGGGGCTCAAGATGTAGACATCTTGAAGTCTGTTGCTCTGCCCGACTCACCCTTCTAGAATATCAGCTCCGGGAGCATCGAGGGTGCCGGTTTCACCAACACCTAGGTGTTCCTGACACCTAGCCGAGTGTCAGGAACCCAAGCCCCCTTAGGAAACGTCTCTCGGACAGATGGCTGTGAATGACTGAGGCAAGCATTAAATACCAACCAAGGATGACACAAGCTGTCTAAGGGGTGTAGAGCAGTTACCTGACCTTGAAATAATCTGAGGGGAGTGGAACATCTTTACAAATATCCGTATTAATCCTGGGGCCACTCTTGCTTTTTCAAATTTTAATGTTGAAGTGGTTTTTGTGTGTTTTGGTTGGTTGGTTTGGGTTCCTTTTGAATTTTGAGACCAGGTCTCGCCGGGCAGTTGAGGCTGGGATGGCAATGCTTTGTAGCTGAGGCTGGCTTCAAAGTCAAGATCCTCCGGCCTTGACGGGGCTAGAGAACCACCACACCTGGCTTGGAGTGTACTTTTAACAGGGATGATTCTGATGTACAAGTTCATTCCAGCCATCTTTGGGTGGCATGTGGAGATTGAAGTGCCAGTCATCCCAGGAAAAGAACCTTGAAGTCCGGAGCACTGCCGTAGATAGCCTCAGGGCAAATACCCTAGGCATTAGAAGCAATATGCTTGAAGACAGACCTAAGGGACTCATGCATGGTAGAATGTTCTGGAACTGGTGACAAATTTTTTTTTGTTTTTAAGCTGCACTGTTGGATTTGAGAGGGAGTGGTGGGTTTTGAGCTTGGAAGGACTATACTGCAGGACCTTGCAGCTCCTACCTCCCTCTTCCCCACAGCCCAGAGTGACTGTGTTCTAGACATATCCCCTGGCGGTGTTGTGATGGGGGTGGCACTGCCTGGGGAAATCAAGAAGCACAGAGATCAGGGGACATGTCCTTCCCACTTCAGCACAATGCTTACTGTGTCTGTAAAATGGAGACAGCCACCTTCCTCACTTCAAAGAATTCTGAGGAGCAGTTGGACGCTTGGCCGACTTCCTGGCACACCATGAGTTCTCAGTAAAAGCCAGAAAGTGTAATTAGTGGTAACTGAATGCCGCCCTTGCAAGGGCTGGATCAGGCGGAGACTGAAGGGAAAGAGGGACCTGATTCTAGAGATATTTAAGTCGTTTTAACCTAAAAAGTCAGGTGTTCTTGCATTCACATGGTGGATGGAAAAGAAGAGCACATAAGGCCTGGAGCATGTTGAGTAGCTTGTGGGGGGAATGGGGTTGTGCAGGAAAATGACAAGGATGATGATGTACAAACCTCCTAGGGCCCCAACAATACAAAGGAGACAAGGCTTGGCTGAAATGTACGTGTATACAGGAAAACGTGGGGAAAGCAGGGAGCTGTTTAAAGGGCTGGAGACTCCGGTAGAGTCACACCTCACAGGTCACAGGCCAACCTCCTAACAACTCAAGGCTACCTAAAATAAACTTTCAGCCATACAGATAACAGTCTCTATCTGTGCTATGCAATGTGGGCCCTAGTCACACATGGCCTTTGCATGATGGGTATATGGCTAGTTTGGTCACTGAGCTGAGTTTTTACTTATGTCTAATTTTAATTAAAATAGCTGCATATGGCTAAGTGATCACAATTTTGGACAGCACAGCTTGAAACCCTCAGGACCCCTGTTGCTCCATGCATCTAGAGGGAATGATGACCCGTCCCAGGCCTGTCATAAACACTCAGAGGTTAAGGAGCTCAATACAGTAATGCAGCAAGTTATTAATGCTATGGCAGAACTGTCTATTGTCAATATTAAAAAAGGCCACATGACACGAGCCATATGTGACTTGAAGAGATAAGTTAGACTGTCATATCTAGATTATAAAATTTTTTTAGATTTAATTTATTTATTATTTATACATTATTCTGCCTGCATTGTGTGCCTGCACACTAGAAGAGGGCACCAGATCTTACTATAGATGGTAGTGAGCCACCATGCAGTTGCTGAGAATTGAACTCAGGACCTTTAGGAAGAACAGACAGTGCTCATAACCCCTGAGCCATCTCTCCAGCCCCCCAAAAAACTTGTTGTGGAGGAAAAATACTTGCATGGCTATTTCTAGTGTTGTGCTGGCTAGTTTTACGTCAACTTGGCACAGCTAGAGGGACACTCAGTTGAGAAAATGTTTCTGAAAGATACAGCTGGGTAGTGGTGGCACACACCTTTAATCCCAGCAATCAGGAAGCAGAGGCAGGCAGCTCTCCAAGTTCAAGGCCAGCCTTGTGTACAGATCGAGATCCAGGACTACACCAAGAAACCCTGTCTTGGAAAAAGAAAAGATCCAGGTGTAGGGCATTTTCTTGATTAGTGATTGATGACCGAGGACCCAGCCCATTGTGGGTGGGGCCGAACTTGGACTGGTGGTTCTGGGTTCTGTAAGAAATCAGTCTGAGCCATGAGGAGCAAGCCAGGCCCTGGGTGGCACTTAGAGTCCTGTTCCTGTGGATCAAGATGTGGAGCTCAGCTCTATCTCCAGCACTGTGTCTACCTGCATGCCGCCATGTTTCCCGCTATGATGATAATGGACTGAACCTCTGAACCTGTAAACCAGCCCTAATTAAATGTTTTCCTTTATAAATAAAGGCAATCATTGCAGCTGGCTTGGGTAAAGGCATATCTCCAGGCCCACTGAGGCTCTTCTATCCTGACCTTCTGGGAAGATGCACCTGAGTTGAATCAATGCCATGGATTCTTGAGCAATGACTCGCAGGCAGAAACAGCCCACGCCTTTTCTAGGTAAGACTCATAATAAAAATCTCCTATATGTCCTGAATTCTCTCCTTCTATTGAAAGACCAAAGAATTAAAAACTAGTTTTTTGGGTTATTGAATTAAAATTTAAAGCATAATCTGAACTAAGGCCAGACAGGTAGAGACATGTCCAGCCACCTGGGGGGAGGAACCAGCCGTACTGCATTCTTTTCCTGCCCACTAGAGATATAGTTGCTAGGAACCATCCCAGATGGCCCCCCTCCCCTGGGACAGCCAAACAAGGGAAGCCAGGCTGTAAATGGTTTGGGGGGCCCCCCTACAGCCAATCAGATCAAAATACAACATCCTCTTTTGTGTTTCAACCAATAGACACTTGCCAGGCAGAAATTCCCCTGCTTTAGGCATGCTTGAAGGGACTGGAATCTTTAAATCAACCACCTACCCTGAGCACGAGACACTCTACTCTCAGCAGCTGTGGTGGTGAGAGTGTGAGCCCAAGCTATAGCTTGTAATAAAAAGATCTTCATGTGTTTTGCAATGGACTCGAATCCTGATGGTGTCTTGGGGGTGTCTCACGATCTAGGCATAACATCATTGTGCTGTGTGTTGAAAGATCCTGTAGGTCAGGAATAAATGAATGGGGCAAAGGCAGCCAGTCCCTCTGCCTCCCCAGGTCTTCACTGGACCCTAATGATGAGTGTGTGGTGCATCCTTTTGGGTTGCGCCCCTGAGATCTGGGGGTTGCTTTTAACACCGGCCTTACCATCGTTCCACTTGAGGCCATCTAAAGAACACTTG